CCCCGTTTCCAAAAAAAAAAGGGGCCCAGGGGTAAAAAATTCCCCAAAGGTTTAAATTTTCCCTTCAAAAGCTGGGTTGGTTTTGGCGGGACCCGCGCCCCCCCACAAAAAAATGGGCAAAATTTGAACCCGTGGGTTTTTTTTTTTTTTCCCCCCACATTTTAATGGAAGGGAGGGCGGCCCGGATTGTTCTTTGCATATATCCTGTCCCGCAATACCGAATCCTTGGCAGGGTTATTCCTCCGCCCATTGGGGCAGGGTTTGGTTCCCGTTTTTTCCTTCAAGAAAAGCCGGGTGGGGGCTTTCCGCCCGGAGGCCCCCGGAGGGGGGGGAACTTACCCCGGTAATCCCATTTTCCATTGCTTCGGACAAAAAGGGGGGGGGGGGGGGGGGGTGACGTCACATGTGGCGATAGGCAGCGGTAATCTCTAGCGCACGAAAGAAAAAAGTTGTCCCTTGTACCTTTCGAAAACACCAGCAGGAACACAAGGGTATGGACAGACGCATCACCCCGCATCACCCACATGCAGCGCGGCAACAGCTTGCTTCGTGCTCTCGACACAACGACACACAAAACAAACCTGCTGCTCCTGTTTCGTCGCAGACATCGCTAGTGGCATCCACTCATCCACTCTCGCCGAGTCCTTCGACTTCTTCCATATGTAATGCATACGTAGGGTCTCGCGGGTGCAACGGTTCCAAGATGCAAAAGCAGTACTTGCAAGTACTGCAAAACCACAAAACCACAATATGCCGTGAAACCATACCGTGCCGTACTGCCGCCGTTCCGTACCGTAGATATTAAGGAAACGGAAAAGACAGCCCGGACACCACGGGAATCACGGTTCCGCTACTATCGTACCAGCAGATGCCATGGACACCTTTGAACTCAAGGCCCACACGATAAGACACTCCGCACCTTCTTCTTAGCCCCTTCGGACATGTACAGCGCGGACTCCCGCCTGCTGCTGCCGCTGCTGACGGCGGAAGAAGAGTACACCGCTCTCGTGTCGACGCCTGCTGGCCTCGCGGCAGACAAGGGGTTCACCGGGGGCACAAAGGCCTCTGCCTGGATGGCCAGCGCCGCCCATACCGCCAAACATGCCTTCGGCGTTGCCGCCATCTGTGCTGTTTCTGTTTTCACTGTAAGCAGTAGGTAAATAGTGCCGCAGAACAGTTCCACGTTTTTTTTGGTGTTTTGCACGCGCACCCGTCGCAACAATCCGTCAGAACGCAGTTCATTCCACGCAATAACGTAGGCGACGAAAGAGACAACATACGTAGAAAGAGGCACCGGGGGGGGGGGGGGGGAGGGGAG